TAGTGCAAGAACCATGAGTTTTCTCGCCACAACTCTGGTCTCTTTTTGCAGATTTTTTTCACGTAACGGTTGTAAATCGTCTTGATAGTACACATGATTAGTTTCACCTTGAGGCAAAAATTTAAAATACACAATTTTATTAAAGTTGAAAAAACAGTGAGCATCACTTTGACATTCTTTGAATGAATGTTTCATCATTGGATTTTTCAAGGTGTTGCCGACAAATGTCCACACGATTTTCTTTCTATTGTTCAGTCATCAAACGAGGAACAAATTTTGCTGCAACTCAATGCATGTTCAATTTTTAAGTCAAAATTTCATTACATGACTGAAACTAACCTCTTTGGCAATTTCTCTGACCGGCGATTTACACGCACTTTGACTTTAGGAACGTCATTAATTGAAGCCGAAGCCTTCCTGGTTGAGAGTTATCTTCAATTGACTGACGACGACCTTTAAATCGTGAAAACCACTCGTAACACTACATACGACCCAGAGCATCATTTTACCAAGGGCGTCGTTCACGCGCGTGCGCGGGCCAGGCGCTCTTTCTCCCGTATACAGGTCGTTCATTTTAACGTTAACTTTTACTGCTGCTAGCGCGTTTATTACATGAACTATCAATGTAAAACTTTTTGAAAATAAAGGTTTAACCCTTTTTTAATTGTCTTTAAAAACCTGGTCCGATACGTCCAATAGTTAATTAACAATTAGCGTTATAAAAATAAGCTATCTTGGGAAAAAATAGGGATAGGTGATCTCTATCTTTTTTTAAATCTAAATACCCTAGCGGCTTTTGCCTGGCCCTGAGGCAATTTGTTTATAACGCCGTTTTGCCACTTATTTGCAATTTGTCAACTTAGCGTCACTGGTTTCGAGTTATTTTTTTGATATTATCATTCTACATACCCTCCCCCGTCGTAAAGTGCAATAAAATGTCTACTAATAATTTTTCACGTTCAAACTAATTCGACTGCAGAATTATTGTATTCAATAAATGTTACTTTAATAACTTGTTGCCTTTTTTTCTAATTCATCTTAAACATATTAAATAAAAGAATCATCAAATAATCGTTTCCATTTCGAAGGTTTTTCATCCTCACTACAATATTCCTGATTTTTAAGTAAAAATAATGAGTTTAAAAAAATATAAGTAGTACGTTAAAACAATGAAAAAATATTATAACACAGGAAATAATTAAAACAATAAGATACAGGGTAATACAATATTGTATGTTATTGTTTTTTCAGGTATTTTCATGTTTTAAAGGTTTCTTAGCTGGCGGATCTGTATCAGTGGCTTTAATCGTTGGCCGTTTAGGTCATCGGACTTGAAACGATAATAGTTTTACATAAAGTTAGTCTACAGACCACATAAAAAATATCTTTTAAATTACATTTTGATGAACCATCTAAATAGTTAAAGATAAAAAATATTCATTAGATTAAAAAGTTAAAAATTAAAACAAAAAAGTTGTCTTTCTTCAAACAAAGTGTCAGCATCATAACAGAAAGGATCGGAGAGACTCATGGCTAAAAAAAAGTATCATGATTTCGAACAATAATTCGTACCTATATTTCATTGCAACATTTCGTATTACAAAAAAAAAATGAGGAGGAAAGTTAAAAGACTGGGCTTTAGCTAGCGTCCATTTTAATCGTTAAAAGACTTGTATGTNCGTCGTAAAGTGCAATAAAATGTCTACTAATAATTTTTCACGTTCAAACTAATTCGACTGCAGTATTATTGTATTCAATAAATGTTACTTTAATAATTTGTTGCCTTATTTCTAATTCATCTTAAATATATTAAATAAAAGAATCATCAAATAATCGTTTCCATTTCGAAGGTTTTTCATCCTCACTACAATATTCCTGATTTTTAAGTAAAAATAACGAGTTTAAAAAAATATAAGTAGTAAGTTAAAACAATGAAAAAATATTATAACACAGGAAATAATTAAAACAATAAGATACAGGGTAATACAATATTGTATGTTATTGTTTTTTCAGGTATTTTCATGTTTTAAAGGTTTCTTAGCTGGCGGATCTGTATCAGTGGCTTTAATCGTTGGCCGTTTAGGTCATCGGACTTGAAACGATAATAGTTTTACATAAAGTTAGTCTACAGACCACATAAAAAATATCTTTTAAATTACATTTTGATGAACAATCTAAATAGTTAAAGATAAAAAATATTCATTAGATTAAAAAGTTAAAAATTAAAACAAAAAAGTTGTCTTTCTTCAAACAAAGTGTCAGCATCATAACAGAAAGGATCGGAGAGACTCATGGCTAAAAAAAAGTATCATGATTTCGAACAATAATTCGTACCTATATTTCATTGCAACATTTCGTATTACAAAAAAAAAATGAGGAGGAAAGTTAAAAGACTGGGCTTTAGCTAGCGTCCATTTTAATCGTTAAAAGACTTGTATGTACATCGTCACCTGAGATGAGAAACTTTATACTTATTTCAATTCAGATCATTTTATAGGAAAATGTATAAATGTGGTATTTTCATTTTCAAATTAGAAGAGATAAGCAATAAGTGTCCCAGGTTTCATTATCAAAATATGATCTCATTAATTTTCACAAGCCGTCAATGAATTCAATGAATTTATATTTCATATTTGTGACATACCTATATCTCCAATATACATACCTAAATACAAAGGTATATCAGTTTTAACACAAGTAACACATACAAACTATACAAATATTATACCACAATAAATCTTTTCTGTAATTTAGCGTATCTATTTTAGAAACTTCTTTACATGCATGCCTTGTTTTATGATCATTCTCGCAGCTAGAGGTAAGTACGTTGAAAATTTGTAGTTGAATATAAATACTGGTCTAATAATAGTTTTTCTATATTTTACGCTATTTATGTATTTCAATGTATACAAGGCAATTTGGCAACTAAATTTCTGCTACTATGTATGTAAATAACAATATTTTACAGACACATAAAAATGTTTAGTATGAGAACAATGTTATTATTTTTATTATTAATGAAGAGGTACTGTTCCTGTCGAACCGGTGTGAAGTTAGCAGCTAATTAGGCAAAAACGCTTGAATGCACATAGACGTTCGTCACTTCTGGACATTCCATCGATTTTAACAATATCACTGAGACATCACAATTTCCATGTTTGGCATCTCCAAAAGAAGGGAACGGTTTTGCTTAGCACAGATTTGGTATCACATACGTCAGTAATCACTTGACATAAATACACCACAAAATTGACTGGACCGCCACAAGTTGTTAGTCAGCCACTGCCATCTTTGAGAGTTTAGATATTAATTTTGGATAAACGACACATCCTATCAAGTTCAAATTATTCAGTATGGTACTTCTATCAACACTTTGTAAGGGCTTTTTTGCAAAGTTGTATGTTGTTGTCTGTGTAGTATGCAAGAATTTTTTGTTTTTGCGAGATCAGTAAGACATTTACATTACCATGTCATCACAGATTAGAATGACTTCACAGTTCAAGTGAATATCCTTTTGGAATATTCAGCCAGAATAGTTAGTGGGTTTGAGGGTATTTTAACCTCCTTTTTTTATGCATATTTAACTCCTAGTTGTTAAGTTAATGTCAAGAGTTTAATTGTTGAATTTTACTAATGATGAATTATACAGTAAGTAAAGGAAATTGCCTTTTTTGAAATAAAAAAAAACAAAACGTGAAAAAATAAGGTTACGAAGTCTCCGCCAAGGAATATTTACATTTACTGGCGTGACACAAGGAACGAGGTAGTCAGGTTATCACCCGCGAACATTTATACATCATTTGTACCTAAACGCCTCATCCTGTTAAGTTTTAAGTTCCTTATACTTCTGTCAACACTAGAAATATAGTGGTGAATTGATTGGCGTGACACAAGAAACCAGATAGTCGGGTTATCATTCCTGAACAGTGATCACATGTATTTTAGCTACAAATAATATATGAGACTGTATATTCTGAAATAATCATCAATAATTCGTTTCATTTTCTTTAATTAACTATTCGCAATTTTACATTATTGATTTATAGTTTTATAATAAAATTACACTTTTTATACAATTACTTTGATTTTCAGGCTTTAGTGGTAGCCGTCACTCATTATGCAATATCCGGACTTGTCATGGGAGCATTTTTATTTCTTCACTCTCTTAAGAAAAAGCAGCGTGTCGCTCAAAATCACAAAAAATCTAAATCGATTGCTCGGAAATTGGATGGTACCTAATAAGTTTTGGGTGCCTCATATTTACAATTGGGGCATTGTATATTTTCCTGCATTAAGGGTATTTGTCGGTGTAATTAAATCGTCCCAATCTATTAATAGCCCTAATCAGGGGATAATAACACAGCCACACAAAAAAAAAGTAGTCTGTACTTTTCATGCGACATATGTTATCAGTAGTATTTTTGCCTCCTGATTACGAATCCGGTGTCAGAATTGAGCTATCACATCACAGTAATTTCCTAACTTCAAAAAACAGGTCAAAAATAGCAAAAATTCACGGAAAAGTGCTAGGAAACATACAGGGTGTTTTTGAATGGAGTAGCATAAATGATATCAGTGAATCTACATTTCAAAAGAACACGATCTGCAAAAAATCGCCTTAGTAAAATGTTCACCCCTGAAGAGATATGGGCCATCAAAGTTTCCAAAAAAATTATGAAAATTGGCTGTAATTTGAAAACCGAACGAGGTACAAATAACAAATTTTTTACAGGTTGTTTACTAATACAGATGCGAGTTTTCAACTATTTTTCGAAAATTTTAACCCCTCGAAAGGGGTTGAAATAACCACCCCTCAAGCCATTTTTTGCCATAACTTTTATATTTCGTAAAAACTCGATATCCAAAAATACGCATTAGATAAACTGGTTCTTTTAGAAACTTTTACCTCTCTAGCAATTTTCCTTTAAAANCAACAACAACAACAACAACAACAACAACAACAACAACAACAACAACAACAACAACAACAACAACAACAACAACAACAACAACAACAACAACAACAACAACAACAACAACAACAACAACAACAACAACAACAACAACAACAACAACAACAACAACAACAACAACAACAACAACAACAACAACAACAACAACAACAACAACAACAACAACAACAACAACAACAACAACAACAACAACAACAACAACAACAACAACAGTGACAACTAAAGCACACTCCTTTAATCTATAATCACAGTTCAACTGAATATCCTCTTGGAATATTCAGCCAGAATAGTTAGTCGGTTTGAGGGTATTTTAACCTCTCTTTAATGCATATTTAACTCCTAGTTGTTAAGTTAGTGTCAAGAGTTTAATTGTTGAATTTTCCTAATGATGAATTATAAGTAAAGGAAATTGCCTTTTTTGAAATAAAAAAACCAAAACGTGAAAAAATAAGGTTACAAAGTCTCCGCCAACGAATATTTACACTTACTGGCGTGACACAAGGAACGAGGTAGTCCGGTTATCGCCCGCGAAAATTTATACATCATTTGTACCTAAACGCCTCATCCTGTTAAGTTCAAGTTCCTGATACTTCTGTCAACACTAGAAATATAGTGGTAAATTGACTGGCGTGACACAAGAAACCAGATAGTCGGGTTATCATTCCTGAACAGTGAACACATGTATTTTAGCTACAAATAATATATATATGAGAGTGTATATTCTGAAATAATCATCAATTCATTTTCTGTAATTAACTATTTGCAATTTTGCATTATTGAATTATAGTTTTATAATAAAATTACACTTTTTATACAATTACTTTGATTTTCAGGCTTTAGTGGTAGCCGTCATTCATTATGCAATATCCGGACTTGTTGTCATGGGGGTATTTTTATTTCTTCACTCTCTTCAGAAAAAGCAGCGTGTCGCTCAAAACCACAAAAAATTTAAATCGACAGCTCGGAAATTGGATGGTACCTAATAAGTTTTGGGTGCCTCATATTTACAATTGGGGCATTGTATATTTTCCTGCATTAGGGGTATTTGTCAGTATAATTAAATCGTTCCAATCTATTAATAGCACTAATCCGGGGATAATAACACAGCCACACAAAAAAAAATTAGTCTGTACTTGTCATGCGACATATGTTATCAGTAGTATTTTTGCTTCCTGATCACGAATCCGGTGTCAGAATTGAGCTATCACATCACAGGAATTTCCTAACCTCAAAAAACAGGTCAAAAATAGCAAAAATTCACAAAAAAGTGCTAGGAAATATAATTTTTTTTTNTTTTTTACAGTAGTACAAAAAAAATTACAAGTTTAATCTAAACATATCCATAAGTACCTAATGTCTGACATTGACAATTTGAGCAATTAATTTCCAGTTGTCAGTTAAAATTTTAATATTATGTAAAATACTGTTAAAATAAAATTTGAAATAAAAACAATCGTAGAAAAAATGTTGCGTGCAGCTCTCAAATTCGTCTCGAGCGCTGCAAACTTCATGCATCGTACAACAAATACACACTCTTTACAGTAGTTGCACAAATAACTGTTTGAATGTCGCAGAAACTTTTATTAAATAGAAGTACAATGAAAACGAAACTAAGAAATAATTTATTATCAAAAAGAGAAAAAACAAAAAACTTAGTTAAAGGACATTTTCAAAATAATTGCCATTTCTTTCTAAACACAACCTAACACGTTTATCAAAGTTGTTACGGACTCGAGCAAAAATTATGGGATTGTTGCGAATCTCATCAGCCGCCGCGAATATTCTTTCCTGTAGCTCTTCAACACTGTCAACTGGGGTCGCATAAACAATACTTTTTATATGTCCCCAAAAGAAAAAATCCATGGGCGTTAGATCGGGAGAACGTGCAGGCCAAGAGATAGGTGCCTCATTGCCGCGACCTATCCAACGATTCGGGTAATTTAAATTAAGCCACCGCCTAACTACTACAGTGCTGTGAGCAGGAGCCCCGTCATGCATGTACCACATGGCCTGACGTACATTTAATGGTACTTCCTCCAGAAGTGGTGGTAGATGCTCATTTAAGAACTGCAAATATTCAACAGCACCAAGTCGATGAGGTAAAACAAAAGGGCCGACAAGCACATTTTCTACAATTCCTGCCCAAATGTTTAAACTAAAATTATGTTGAAATGTTGTCATAGATACTTCGTGAGGATTTTCATGAGCCCAGGAATGAAGATTGTGCATATTGGTTAAACCATGTCTTTGAAAAGTTGCTTCATCTGTGAAAAGTATCTTTGAGGCAAAATTCAAATTATTTCTTAGAATATTAAGATACGATTCGCAAAAAACAACTCGCTTATGCATGTCTGGTTCAAGTAGAGCTTGAACTGGCCGGTGGTGAAAAGGATATAATAAATTATCATGGACAATATTCCAAACAACACTATGGGACACATTTAAGTGCATTGCTGTTTTTCTCGTACTAGTCTGACGATTTTCGTCAAACTCTTCAAGTACTGCATCCTCAAGATAAATAGTACGAACAGTAGGTCTTCGGCCGGTACCCTCAATATGCGGCTGTATTTTTCCAGTTTCCCGAAGTCTTCGTTCTACCGCCGAAAAAGTTTGTCTGTGGGGAACTTGACGATTTGGATATCTCTCATTATACGCTCTTGTTGCCGCAGCACAGTTTTTGCGACATTCAAAATACACTTGTAGCATGTCCACATATTCATCATTAGTAAAATTTGGCATAATTCTTGTTAATTTACACCCAAAAAGTATTTAGCTGATAACAGTGACAACTTACAGAAGAGTTAATTGTGACAACTGGCATGACAGCAGCACACTTAGTTTTTCTTTGATTGATTGCAATCATATACGGTGTGAGGTGAATGGTAATACATTTTATTTTTTTATTAATAAACGAAAAGTTTTAAAGGAAAATTGCTAGAGAGGTAAAAGTTTCTAAAAGAACCAGTTTATCTAATGCGTATTTTTGGATATCGAGTTTTTACGAAATATAAAAGTTATGGCAAAAAATGGCTTGAGGGGTGGTTATTTCAACCCCTTTCGAGGGGTTAAAATTTTCGAAAAATAGTTGAAAACTCGCATCTGTATTAGTAAACAACCTGTAAAAAATTTGTTATTTGTACCTCTTTCGGTTTTCAAATTACAGGCAATTTTCATAATTTTTTTGGAATCTTTAATGGCCCATATCTCTTCAGGGGTGAACATTTTACTAAGGCGATTTTTTGCAGATCGTGTTCTTTTAAAATGTAGATTCACTGGTATCATTTATGCTACTCCATTCAAAAACACCCTGTAGAAAAAAAATGTTTATTTATATAGTTAAGACCCCGCCGAACGTGAATTAGCGGTCAGAATTGATGGTTCTTTTTCTAACCTCAAAAAACCGGGTCAATTAAGGTCAGATATCACGAATTTTCAAAAAATAACAAATTCGCACCAAATGGGGGTTTTCGGGGTGCACAGTCACACAAAAAAAGATTAATCAAAAACGTTGGCACGTACACTAGGGCAGGTAATTCTTGGGATATAAATGTGAGATAGAAGTGATGCAAACTCTTCTCGTCGCGCCGCCGCCATTGCAGAGTACAGTTCGTTATCTGAAGCATCGATTTCTTTTTATATATTTACACGTTTTTCCTTAATACTGAGTTGCAAAATAAATTATTTGCTGTGTTACTTATTAGTGTGAGATTATTTTGGTGGACATTAACCATACATTTTTTTTAATTTGTAAAATTATACAATTTCTTTATGAACAATTATTGAAAAATTGTTAGGGATTATTTCATTTGCGATTTATTTTCTCGATTATTAGAAATTTACTTTGCAAAAATAAATGTAAATCGTCCTTGCAAAAGTGCAAAAATTGCAACTTAATAAAACAAAAAATAATAAAATTATTGAAATACCAGGTAGGTACATTTTTATATTTATACAGGGCGTTTTATAATTCTACCGATACAGAGTAGGCACGTGTAGAGGATCTTAAAATATGCCGCATTATTATATAATATAATATTTTTTTGTAGGATGTACCGTTGAAGAGATATTGGCCTCTGAAGATGAGTGTCAAATTTTGAAAAACAATATATGCAATTTTGCAGGTACCTATTTTCCAAGACGATGGAACAGTATGTGGTAATGTGCAGTCTTTGTAAACGTCAAAAATGGCATGAGATCATACTGCACTAGTCGTAATGATGACATTTCACAAAATCCCGATTTCCTGAAATACTGGTAAAACTATTTAATAACTCGCATACTTACTGATAAAAAAAATCGATATAATTTTAAGGATCCCTACCCCGTACTCCAGCCCTTATTGGGCTTCCAACAAATTCCTATTTTTACAAATTAAAGATAACAATAAACGCAAATCATGTACATGGTTGCTCTATGTGAAGGCAATGCTGACATAATATTGTTTTTCAAAATTTAACACTCATCTTCAGAGGTCAATCGAAG